TATTTACAGTGTCCTCCTGCCTGATCTCCTGCCACAAATAGTCCTATTGTTCTTATGATAGTTTTTGTCTGACAAATCACGTCCAAAAATAGCCTTTTCATTCATTTGTTAACAGTGACATCTCCAGCACACTAATGAAGTGTCAAGATATGTTCAACTTCTCAAGGCTCAAGTGACAGGTGCAACGCTGTTTCTTGAAGCGGCCGCATGATACAGCAAACGCTCTCCTTGATGGGAACAATTGAATAAGTGACTAGAAAAAGATGCTATGTGGAAGCACACCCCAAGGGGGGGTTCTTTTTCAAAGGTCTGAGGGGAGACTCAGGCCCCTGCTTTACACAGAACAGATTCTATACAGAAAACATACCATTTGACATTTGACCCTATGAACCCTCAGAGGGTCCTGCTGTTATTGTTTCTGATGTGCTCACCATGTTCATGACGGTCAGCAGGAACCTCTGCGCCGCCTCGGCCCCGTGGTAATGCACCATGTCGGAGTCGGCCACCACCACTGTCTCCACTGTGTAGGCTTCATGCAGGCGGATGGCGTTCCTCCTCCCCCGACCCTCCTCCCCCTCTTTGGACATCTTTTCCTTCTTCTTCCCTACCATACACAGGAAGAGAGACAAAGAGAAAGACCCAGCGTTAAACAGAGAAACACAGAGACCTTTTTTACACTGCAGTGTGCATGTGTGTGGGACTAGATATCTGTAACATCAAGTTACCTAAAGCTGAGCCGAACTACAGTGCAACGTCAATCAGGAGGATTTTTTTTGTAGCTTTCTGGTCCCATGACCAAAATAAGTAATTCCATATTTGAAAAAGGTATTAAAAATACCTCTGATTGAGTAAATAATCCTAGCACCCTTTCCACAGCTGCAGCATCTCCATTTGTAGAGTGACTGAATGTGAAGCTGCACAGACTGGTTCACTTCAAGTGTACAGAGAAATGGATTTAGGTGTCATATTATAGGGAGGCAAATGTGTTTTTATAGGGTTCATACACGAAGGATGCTCAGCTAATACTGACAACATACTCCTCATTGTACTGAGTTTTCTGGTTTATTTTGTATATTTATATTTGGTGGGAATACTGTCTTTATCCTCTTTAATGTTAAAACGTTTTTTTAATATATTTTATTTGTATTATTGTTCTATTATTCTCTCACAACTTATTTCTTTATGCTGTTCGCACCACCAAACACCAAAGCAAATTCTTTGTATATGTAACCCTACCATAAACTCAAATCTGATTCTAAGTCTAACAAAGCCAAGACAAAAAACATGTTCTCCGTTTTCTTTATAATATAGCTTCTGACATCAGACATAAACCTCAACATACTCTATATTAAAATATTTAAACGGGAATGAAATGAAATACACCCATTATATGTAGCTGTGCACACATGGTGACAGTGTCAGAGATATTACGATGAACTCTGTCAGAACATGTGCTTACACTGAAAGTGTATGTTTATCTCTGGGTTTGGCTCACGTCTAGTTCAACAACTTACACAGTAGTTTGCTGGGAGGTCCCTTTTTCCCAACTAACCTCCTCCTGATCATTCACATAGCTACCACTTTGTAAGGACAGGAATCCAGCACTATAATGTGGTCTAATCATTTCTAAATGCTTTATTTTGGAAAAGGCTCTGAGTCTTCAAATGGTTTGCATTTCAACAAAACATTTGATATTGTTTAAGAATCAAAACATCCACGACACCAATAATCAGAGGACTGCATCAGGAGACGTTTATCTGGAGCTGTCATCAGAAACAGGTGGTGAAATACACTGATATACAAAAACCCTCTGTACTGTGTGGCGCAGGGGATAGAACCTCAGTCAAACTGAGTAACAACTAAATGAACAGTCAAGTGCTAAAAATCGCCAATAAACTGTACCCCCACAACAACAGCAACCCCTGCCCATAGGAAAGGAAGAGAAGGTCAGAGTGTGTTTCAAACAAGGACTGTCAGATTCTGTGACAGCATTCCAAACTTCCCGTCTAGCATTTGCATTGGTGGGAAACTGTGCCACCCCAACATTCAATCCCTTCATTCAGCGGTTAGTGAGGGCTGAAATGTAGGTGGGAATAGAACTCTCTCCTAAGCTATCTTTTTTCATCCTTAAATCTACCCTGGATAATTCTGCAAACACCAAATACATGTGATGCTAGCATTTCTTATGTATATATATACAGTATGTATGTATGTATGTATGAATTTATTTATGTATGTATGTATGTATATGGTTCGTTTTAGGCGACTCACTTTTACTTGTATACCCCATCTCGTTATTCTGCATTTGGGTCCTGGTTACCTCCTGCCCGTGACAATAATGAGCTGACAAAATACTTGGCTCACACCAAACTGAGATCCTCCAGTACATCAATCCAATTCTTCATCTTCCTCACCATCATCATTATTACTGTTGACATTAAGTTGGCTTTAGGAGGTTTGAACATTCCTCCATGTATTGAGCTAGCTGGGAGCTCCAGCGTCAATCTGGGACTGCTTACTGCAGCCACTCAGCGAACACGTCTGCAGGGGCCAAGCTCTTCTTTGAATGAGCTCTGTATTGTTCAGCCCATCTGGTGTCTGTTTAGCTTGTTTCCTGGAGTGTACAAATGTGACTGACGGCAATGCAGCACCAGAGTGAAGGCTGCCTGCAACACTGCAATATGGATTCACCCAGGACAGACTCTGGACCAAGAGGACTCAATTCATCGGAAGCCAAACAGCCATCCAATCAATTCCTTTTTGTTGTTTGAGTCTCTATATTTGAGTAAAAATGTTCCGTTACTTGCCTCGTTTGAAAGGTTTTGTAGAATAATCATTATAACTGGAAGGAGCCAGTGTATGACTAGACTGGAAACACAAACAGAACAATGACTGGGGGACCTGAACTGATTCTAGGACAGCTGTTTGGGGTTCTAGACAGCCAGAATGTTTACATGTGACTTAGGCTAGCTATGAATGCCTCCCTTATCATGAGGCTATATTGTTTTTTCATATATAACTTTAAAAGTATTTTCAGTAATTCCTTGAACAAATCATGCAACCTAATTTGATGTTGCCCTCCCAAAAAAAAACATGTGGGCTTTCTTGATTTTCAGGGTTGGTGGTAAAGGTTTGATTAAGTTTAGGCTACTAAAACTCTGCCATGGTTAAGGATAGGAATAATTGAGGGCTTCGGGCGATTTTGTGGATTTCTTCAAGTCCTGACTCAACTCAAGTGTAAGCTCAGAGAAAAGACCACTAAGAGCAAGTGGTCCCATGAAGTTGCTATACATATCCCACCTAGGCAGAGAACTGAGACACTCAGAATGACTCAGTGAGCTGCTCAATGCTTTAAGGGAGAAAACCTTGTAAAAGGAAAGAAAATAGGATGTGTTCGAGTCACAAATAAAGAAATAACACAGTGCTTTGAAACCAGCAGCAGCCCCACAGGGAACAATAGTCTGCCTACACAGCACTTTGTGGGACAACATATCTTTCTGTTTTGGTGGTCATGCCACACCGTGCACGTGCACGCATGCGCGAGTCATGGTAAGATATATGGATTAAGATTTTGTTTTTTCTTTGCACAGCATGAAAGATAGGCCAAATGAATGGGCTGTGATTTTAGTTTTTTTAAGCAGAGGTCAATAATTTGTACGGCCCTCGGAGGATGTTGTAAAAATTGAAAGGAAAAAGGTTCCCCACCCCTGCCCTAAAGGGACATGAAGAAAAATGAAAAACTAAGTGAGTTTATCGTGCTCACGAGAAAGTTCACTGCAGAGTGTTGTGTTTATGTGTGGAAATGACAGTACACATTCATTGAGTTATTTTCCAACTCAGACTTTATTTTAAGAAAACAATCTTGTTCGCACAAGAAATGATCTTGTTCGCACACATTTTTGTTTTATTTTACTTTTGTGTCCATGTCTCTTTAGGGCTCCATAGTTTTGAGATATCCTCATGATTTTAAAGGGTTGGCAATCTTTAAAGGGGGGGTCTTTGCTAATATGAAACCAACTCACAGCTTAGTGCATGGTTAACAAATAATGCATTATTTTCTTGCTACGTGTCAACCAAGGAATTCACGTTATGCTGTGGCATACAGTATGAGTCACTGTTCGGCCATAAGGCTCAGAGGTTACTTAATCCCCTACACCAAAAGCAAATCTTTCAACCATTGTTACTACAGATAAATTGCATCAGAAATGTAATGTCAAAATGTGTGTTAGGTGCAGCACCTTGTACTGTATCAATAGATACAGCTCAAATGCAAGCAGTGCTTCCTAAATAAGGGTTCTGTAGGGGAGGAACTTGCGACTGACCAGATGCAGATTTACAGTAACCTGAGGGCAGGGTTCACCTCAGGGAGTTTGGCTGTCCTAAAATAGACATGAGCTGCAATAGTTGTAAGGGGAACTCTATATAATCACAATTGTTGTTGCATTTTTATTTTGAGCAGATCTTATGGATAATAAGCACATTAACACAGGTGTAGAAAAATAACGTCAGATGATCCAAAAAAATGATCTTGTCTGGGCGACAAGATTAACTTGATTCAAACAGCCTGAGTGAAAAACTAGCACTGATGTTTTTCCAAGATAAATCCATGAGGGAGACCCTTGTGACTCATCCCACTGGGTGTAAGAGTATCTCCTCAGGACCAGAGGGAGGTATGGGGCTCTGGACTTGGTCTCCAGCCATGAAAGAAGCAGATGCCTGGGCTCCACTGTTGCTTTAACTTCCTTTTCCTTTTCCCTGCTGACTGGGTGACAGTCTCAGATTCCACTCATAAAGCAAAAATGTCATTACTGTAAATATTCAATCTTTATTTCAGACTCAAGGTCCATATCACGTTCAAAAAGACAAGACACACATCAATACATAAAACAAAAAGCTAAACACAAAACAGATAAAAACAAACAGATACAAAACATAAAATCAGTCCAATCACAGCTAGCCACACATGCTCACTGTCAGTAGAGGCTATTGCGCCAATCTCTCCAAATCATGGAAGAGAACCGAGTTTCACCGATGACAGAGCCAGTTTTACACAAGTTCAGTTTCCTAGACAGATCATCCATGTACAGATTAAACAACAAAGGAGATCAAATCCCACCTTGCTTGACCCCATTACCAACATCAAAATGTTCAGACACAGTATTGCCCCACTGCATAGTCTGATGTGCATACCAGAAGGCTAAGATCCTTATTACTGTATGTACTTGGGTACCCCCTTTGGCACATTTTGTCAAATCATTTGAAATGATTCAGTCTATCAAATGCCTTGGAAGCATCAAGAAAACACAGAAACATGGTGGAATTATGGCTTCTATATTTTGCTATAATGTCTTTTAAAGCAAAAATACACATATCTGTGCCATGTTTTCTTTTCAAACCAAACTGGTTGTCAGCTGTGGTAATATACCTTTCCAGCCTATCCAACAGAATGTTCTCCAGCACTTTGGAGAGGATGCTAGCTAAAGCAATGGGTCTGTAATTATCAATGCCATTAATCTTCCCAGCTTTATCCTTGATGACTGGCACAAGTAGCACAGATAACATGGGATTTGGTAAGACACCATGATTAAGGAAACCAGTAAGACA